GGCAGGGAGAGAGGGATAGAGAATCTCAAGCAGACTCTGCGCTGGGCATGAAGCCTGATGCAGGGCTCGATCTCACAACCCTGAGATCACGACTTGACCTGAGCAAAAAGGAAGAGTCAGTCGCCTAACTGACTGTGCCACCCAGGAGCCCCTAATTTAAAGTTTTACTGAAACAAAACCACACTCATTTCCGTATTGTCTATGGTTGCTTTTGAGCTACAATGACAGAGACAAGTAGTTGCAACAGAAAATGTACAGCCCTAAGCCTTAAATATTTACTAATAGTCTCTTTACAGAAAAAGTTGGGGCACCTCTGCTCTACAAGTTCAGAAAAAAGAAGTACTACTTTAATATTGATTTCCATCAGGCAGTATTTTCTTTTGCAGCAGGATCAACATACTCTTGGATAATGTGCTACCTAGGTAACAGAATTCAATAAACACTTTCAAACCCACACAGCCAGAAGACAGCAATATGACTTCAGGCTTCAGATTTCATTTCATTCCCCTGTCCTAACTTTGACCTGTGATCTCTTACATCTCTCTTCTTTCTGGGGTATTTAGAAGATCCTAATGACTGCTTCAAGAAACTACGGATGAAGCTTGAAATCTACTGAACTGATCACTTTCTATAGGACCAGAACCACGACAATTTTAAAAAAGAACCTCAACTTTCATTTCTAAGACACACTTAAAAGCTACTTAAAACAAATTAACAGCCTACTCTGAACAAATTTTTTTCTTAAAGATTTTATTTTTAAGTAATCTCTACACCCAACTTGGGGCTCAAACTCAATCCCGAGATCAAGAGTCCCAGGGTCCACCGACCGAGCCAGCCAGGCGTCCCACAAAACAAAACTCTTAAATTACTACTGTATAGAATTCAATCTGATTTCAACAAAAAATGATTTGGATATTCCTTTGGAAAATACTGTTTGCTAAACGAATCAACAACAAAAACATGGTTTCAATAAAACTGCTTGGCAGAAAATGCAGCTCCTTTAGAAATATTTACCTAATACATTTATGAAGGTAGACAAGGATGACAATCAGAAGCTCAGCACATACCACTGCCGTGTTAATTACACTTCACAGCATCTGGCGTCATCCCGCATTTCAGCATTCATACGGCCACACTAGTGCATTAGTGAACCAGCAGCTTGTCAAACGCTGATGCCGCTGTGGTCAGTCTGGTCTTTTAGAATCCATCGTTCTCCCCACCAGCATTCACCACAGTGGGGAGGCAAATGCACACTGTTTTACTGTTTTAGAAATAGGTACAAGATCACCAGATGGTCACTAATGCCTCCAGGAGATATGTACGGAGGCTCCAAAGCATGTGGGCCTAACTAAGAAACAACTGCCCTGAAGTCCCATTAGGAAAAACTCTCCAGAAAATGATAGAGCCTACTTCCAAGCAGCTGTGCACCAAGCTCTTCTGTTCCATCCAGTAGAGGAACAGTACCTCTGCTGCCCAACTCTGAAACCCTTAGTCCTTTTAAACCTCGTTTTTCATGGTCTTGTAATCTTCTGAGTTGCTTTACCTTTACTCTGAAAGCACAGCCCTTCCTCACTTTGACCAACCAAATCCCAGCTCGTTCTTCCAGGAGCTTACTTCCTACCTCTGGTCCTAATTCATCCATAAATGTTTCCTAACCACTCCCTATGGTCCGCAGGGAGCTTGCCCCCTCTGTTCCTTTGGCACCTAACTAGTAAGAAGACATCTCTTATTAAGTGAAAGATCAAAGCCATGGACAGAGAAGGCACTCAATAAATGTTTAGTTAACTAGTTAAATTAAATAATGTAAAAGGCATTTGAAGGTAATGCGTCACATAACTATAAAGCTTCATTACTCTAACAGTCCCTCTCTGACCTTTCCCCAAGATTTGTTTCCTGCATCAGTGACAGGCTAACTCCAGCCACTACTCCCTGGTACTGCAGAGCCTACGGATAGTTTATCCCCGTCCAGGGGGTCGTACAAGCAAGTAGGGAGAAAGACCAAGTGGTATTCCCAGCACTTTGGAATACTGAAAATGGTAGAACCAGAAGGAGTTTTAGGGATCACCCAGGCCAGAGATTCTGAAGATGGGATCTGTAGATGACTTCAGTATTTTGAAGCTTCGAATCAGGGTTTGGGTAAGGCTTAGGGATGGGCTTAGGGTTGTATAATGCACACATTACTTTGTAATGAAGAAAAGCTTATATGTTTAATAGTTTGTTTTATAGGGTTGTAAAACTTGTAAAATGTCAAAATGTCCACTGTAGGAAATAGTTATGTAAGTGTGGTTCTAATACAGAAGACTGTTGGGGATTAGATGAGAAAATGTGTATATGGATTCATCTCTCTTTCCCCACAAACTCTTCCAATAGTCTGTGATTGAAGGTAGTACATCTCTAATCTTGGACCCATTATCCCATCACAGGTTGTCAAAGCAACAGGAGACGTCATAGTTGATTTACCACCACTCTCTGTCCCTAGAGCAATAACTTTGTGGTAAGCCTGACCATTCCAGAACCAGAGTTACGTAGAGTAGTCTGTAGAGTGGTCTTCAGCGATTTAGGCTCAGGCCTTTTGAGGCTTCTTAATGTCCAGTAGGACCACATGGTTCTAAGCATTTGGAGAAACACCTGTAGGCTCTGCAGTACCAGGTAGCAGTGGCTGGAGTTATTCCGTCACTGAGGCAGGAAACAAACCTTCTCTCAGACCTGCCCTCAAACGGACCCTTTCTCCTGTTCCTGATCCCACGCAGGGCAACTCCTTAGGACAACACCCCACCCCAACCCCTGCAGTCTAGCTGCCTCTCCAGTGACTGGATGACTAGATCAGCTGTGGATTAAAGACGAAGAGTAGGACAGACACCCCTGGCTTTTCTAAGGTCTTACTATTCCAAGTGTGGTCTGCGGACAGCTGCAATAGCATCACCTGGGAGTAGACTCTCGGGCCCCACCCTGGACCTACTGAACCAGAATCTGCCGTTCAACAAGGTCTTCAGGTGAGTCACAGAGATGTTTTGTGTCTGTGATGCACTGATCTAGGGGCTAAGCTAGCACCTTCTAACAGGGTAGCCAAAAGCCACATGTGCCTATTAAATTTAAATTTAAATAAAATCTAACATTCTGTTCACTAGTTGCACTAGCCACACCGGAAGTGCTCAACAGTACCACATGGCTGGTGTTTTGCCCTGCTGGACAGCATAGATACAGAACATTTTCATTCACATGGAAAGTTCCATTGAATAGCACTGAACACAATGCTGTTTTCCAAACAAACTTTAGTAGTAAACTCTACACATTGGGGGGGGTGGGGGGGGAAGGGAGGCTGATACTAGACTTTAATCCAAATGATACTCATTTTTAATCCAGCTCCTGAGTCAATTTCTCTTACAGGAAGGGGTAATTAATCAGGTTCCACCAAGCCCCACTATCTAGAAAGCAAACACACCTTCACCAATATGAATAGCTATTTCCTAAGAGTGTAAATCTAAAAAAGCTCCCACAGGCAATCTCCTTCATCACTAAAAGAAGCATCAATTGCAAAGTAAACTGTTAAGAGAAATACTGGATGTCTGACTTTCCCATTTGTTTTTACTGGCTCAAAAAGAGCTTTGAAAAGATTGAGCAAAAACTAATATACTGATACCACATCTTGAGCAATGGTTCTCAAACTTTGGTGTGCATCCAAATCACTTCAGAGGTTTGTTACACACAGATTGCTGGGTTTGACCACCAGTTTCAGATTCAGTAAGTCCCAGGTGGGTCTGAGAATGTATACTTCTAACTAGTTCCCAGATGCTGATGATGCCAATCCAGGGGCCACACTTTGAGAACCACTGGCCCAGAGTAACACAAACACTAAGAAAACAGAACCTAAAACATGCTTACACACATAACATGATGCCAGGCAGGGGTGCAGGAGCTCCTGCAAAGAAAGCAGACTGAAATCAAACAGAGCCAGGACTCAGTGCTCTTAGCCTCTCCTCCCTATGAGACATACCAGAGCATCAGAAGCAGACCAGGCTGCGGAAGAGACACCATATAAGAAACGATCTTTGATTCTTAATCTACGGTGTAGTAACTGAGGTCTCGATTAGCTTTCCCTCACATCGCAAAGCAGCAGCTTGCACTGCTTACCAATTACCTTCAAAAACCTCTGAAAACCAGTGCATACACCTTTCCTCTTCCCTAAAGTTTATTAAACCTGAAGTTTCAAAAGTCTCCAATGACCTTCTAATTGCCCAAACTACTAGGGTCTTAATCTCTACTTTTACTAGCTTTTCCATTAACACTTTACATTTAGCAGTATGTATGCCTCAGAAATTCTCCTCTGCTTTGGCCTCCCATCTTTTATCTAACTAAACTTTCAGTCCCTTAAATGGGAGCTTCTCGGGCCATTTTTTTCCTTCTTGGGAGGAAAGAATATTATGATCATAGTTCTTAAGCAACAAATGGGCTCCTTCCTGGAAAACAGGCTGAGATCTGCATTAAATCTGTACAAGGAGATTCTGCAAATGTCCTTGGTTTAGGGATCATGCTCGCTGCTGTCTTGATATGTAGCTTCTTTCTCCTGTTTATGAGGAACTCTATTGTCTTTGTATCCTAAATAAGGAAAAAGACCTAACTGGATTTCAACATTAGCCCACAATTTCTGCACCAGGGAAGGTAATGCAAAGCTAGAGTGCCCCTTCCACAAGCTCAGGGCTGAAGGTAGCACAGATCTTATCTAGAAATTACTCGGCACTAGAATTGACAGAGAATAAAAAGCACATGAAATCTTTTGACCAATCTCTGTTCTCTTATGTTCTGAAATTTCCATCACATTGCAATTAAAAGGATGAAAAATGATCTAACCCAATCTGAGAGATAAATAACCTCAAGTCTGGCAGACCTCCTACAGTCCATCTCCTCCTCCCTTCACACGCTTCCCATAGGTGTTCCCCAAAGAGTCTACCTAAAGGCTTCCACCCAGACTAACTCTTGCAGTTCAACTACTTGTCTTCACAGGAATTATTCCAAAAGCTCTGGCCTTTGTCCTGACTTTTAGCCAGTCCATCTCCACTAGAAATTTCCAGCAGTTACCCCAACAACACTTCAACTACTATGTGAACAAGATAACTTTAATGTGCCTTGCAACCTTAAAATTCTGTAATTATATCTAACCTGTAATACACCCCTTTGCTCTAAACTGGCTCGCCTTCCTGCCAGTAGCATCTGTCAGTGGCAGTCATGTCCCTTCATCTAGAACCACAGGGTCAACTCTTCAGTCTCCCTTCACTCACCACAACCCACAGAATGAGTAAGACACAAGGATGAGTGCCTCATATACTATATTCTTCATAAGTTTTGTGCTAGGTACAAAGTGGGCACTCAAGAGGTAACTAGGGGCGCCTGGGTGGCTCAGTCGGCTGAGCAACTGACTCTTGGTTTCTGCTCAGGTCGTGATCTCGTGGTCTTGGTCATGGGATCAAACAGCATGGGGCTCTGCGCTCAATGCGAGCCTGCTTCAGATTCTTTCTCCCTCCCTCTGTGCCCCCTCCCAACTCTTGCATGCACTCTCGCTCTCTAAAATAAATAAATAAAATCTTTAAAAATAAATTAAAAAAAAAAAGAGGTAAGTAAAAAGGTACTTTAACCCTAAGTCCTAAATCTAGGCCCTCCTCTCCATCTAAATAGTGACTAATTTGATTTAGTCCCATATTACACTTCCCAAAACTATTCCAACAGCCTATAGTCCGGTCTTCTTTTCACCGATCTTTCCCTATTTCAATCCATCCTCCGAGTAGTTAGCAGTTCCCCTCCTAAAAGTAATGCCATTATCCCGATTAAAAACCTTTGACATCTATTTTTCAAAAGATAAAGTTCCAACTTACTTGACATCCACAACCCTTTATGATGATCAGGTCCAAATTAACTCTCCAGCCATACTTCACCTCTCTCTGCCGTGTACCTTAACGTGCTTTCATGACTGGAAACATGGCCTGTTCCCTTTGCCTGGGATGCTAGCAACCCTCCCTCTTCCCTATTTCCCAATCTGAGTAACTTCTACTCTTACCCTCATCTCTTCTGTGTTCCCACTGAACTAACACTTGTCATACTGTATCATAATTATGTACAATCTCTGAACATTCCATTAAAGGATTCTCCTTAAACTGGAACTCTGCTCACTCAACAGAACCTGGCAGACTATGCACAGGAGGCCCATAATGAATGTCCGTGAACGAAAAAGCATATATATCCAAAAAAAAAAATCTTTCAAAGTTTTTAATACTTTTGGAAGGCTACACAATTATTTCAGCAATGCAGTCACTGCTTAAAACGTTTTTAGAACTCTCTTTTGCCATTTGGAATTGCCTTCTGAGATTGTTTATCCTCTGGAGAAGAAAATCAGTCCCCTTACTTTATACTCATAAAACATTTTCACCCAAAATAGTGGAGTCAACTTTGAGTATTGCCATTCTCCACCCACTCTCCTTCACCATATGGATTTGTTCCAAACAATTTCTGACCCTTTCCAACCAGAAAATATTCCTTCAAAGGCTGAAAACTTGCCATCACTGACATTGTGCTACAGGCTCTTAAGACAATTCCATATGTAAATGCAAGAAGTTCTGCTAATGGCCGCACCGCTGGAATAAGTATATTATCTCAAAAGACTCCCATTTGATGGTGAAAAGACCTAAGTGTGTATGTTTAGGCAAAGGTTTTATTTTTCAAACAATAGTTCATTTTACCTTGCTGAGTATGTGTTAAGTGAAACCCTAAGAAAAAAATGTGCGTCCGTTTCTCCAAATTGTCAAAAGGGGGCTACGTCTTCCCAATGCTCCCATGATGCCAGATCATTGAAAACTAAGCTTAATGACTGTTCAATTTCCGAGGATGTGAGATTCTTTTATAACTTCATTAGAATATTCTTAAGGCAGCAACACCTTAGAAGCAGCACCGCCCTTTTCCAAGGAAAAGGTTCCATCATTTAAAGACGGATGCCATAAATACGACTGTTTGCTTAACTCAACATGTATTGAGCATCTGGGTGTTCCGCCCCACTCCAGGTGACCGAGGGAAAAGACAGAAAAAGGGACACAGCCCTACCACTCAAGCTTTCAAAATCATCTCCAGACATCTTGCCAACGCACTAAATACATTCGTAACCACCCATCCTCAGTGAAACAGTTTACAGGAATGGCTCGCTCTACCCTCCCGAATCGACTGGGGACACATAAATCTCTTTATCCTCATGTCATCCCTGTGAGGAGGAAGAAAGCCTGATCTTTCCCATCACTGGGCTAGGAAAATTAAGGTAGCAGCAGTAGAGGGGTTGGTCCTTACCCTTCCCTTCCCCTCCCGACCAGCACCAGAGGCAGAAGCCAGGATTCGGACACCCCAGTTCCAAGCCCGCTAGTTTAGTGAGAAGGAAGAATCAAACTCCTGATCCTTCCCGCAGAAACGCACAGG